CCTCCACGCCTTATGGAGCCATTTATGCGAGAAAAGTTAAGGCGCATCTTAAGCACGGCGCACACTTCCTATTAAAATAATGTATAAAATCAGCTTCTTCGAGTTTTCAAGAAATCTTTTTGGTAGTTCTATGTGCTTTTTGTCATGGTCTTCATTTTGACAATGTTAATGAAAAGCCTATGATGTGACCATTTGAAGGTTAGAAAACATCGGCCCTAACGTTTTCAAGTTTCTTTCCACCCTTTCCTTAGTCAACAAAGTCACTTTTTTATATTTGTTTGTTATTATTTTAATTACGTTTAGCAAAGACTATGGCATGTATTTAAGGAATGTGCTACTAGTAACTGTCGACGAATCCCATTTTGGTGATCAGTTGAAAAGCCAACGAACAGAGCTCTGCAAACTCATTTTCTATAGTACGTAGAACAAGAACACGAAAACTCGACAGAAATAGAATACGACGACTTCCCTCAGGTAATACTGATCATACAACCCGCACTCTTTATTTCCTCCCGTTTTCAGTTCCCTGCATCCTCCCCAAATATCCCACATTTCCTGCTAGCATCTACACTTCCCATAATTTCCCTTATTCTCGGTGACCTGATTGAAAGTATAGAAAGAAAAAATGAAAATGGAAAAATTTCGTTGAGTTTACACAGCGATAATGTCAGGTCGTTAACAATGACGGAAAAAATGGGCATCAATACAGTCCCTTGAGGAACACCCTTGTTAACACTGACAAACTCTTAAAATTTGTTTTAGAATATGCTAAGAGTCTACTAACTATAGATTGCCCGGTCGGACAGAAACATTTTCACCTGGATAGTTAGAAGAGCTTCAAATGGAATATAACCAGGCAAAAGAAAACGAAGACTTAATTTGCTCTACGAGTCTTGAGAAAAAGAACATATTACCACTACATTCGTACTACATTCGTATAGCGTAAGGAAAAAGTTATCAGTGGTTATTACTGGTTATTATGGGCACTGCGATATGCAAATGTATAGACTGCGAGCAGTCCCTTAGGATGGTCACGCGAGCGAGGAAGGGAATCGTGCGCAATTCGCTCTCTCCAGTCCTGCCGAGCTTAGACTTGACTGACCGAAGAGGGACTGCTCGCAGTCTAGCAAATGTATCACTCAGGTGTGGACACTTTCGTAATTAGTCGGCTCGCACGAAAGCACCCGATATCAAAACGACAATTGTCGTAGATCGATCGTTCCCAAACGTCCCCGCGATGACCTCCCGATAAAGAAGTGCTGAGCTGGATTATGATTTTGTAGCTTCCATAGGAGGATAAGTTGTCTTGTTAGCACTATGGCCAACCTTGAGACAGAAGTTTATGAACTTTTGAAGCTTTTTGAGACGAGCGATATCATTAAACATGATGAAGAGATCAGCAACTGCGCATGCTCTTCAACTCCACAAGCTGGTCCAAGCTCACGATTCTGCCAATTTTTTAACTTTTCTCACGGCCTCACTACAAGACTCCCAATCTCACGGTTTTTTGGGAAATATCATTCTGAAATGCTTTTTTTAAAATAAAAACAGAAATGTGATTCTTCTCATGAAAATGCAGTAGGACGCCGTCAGCAAGAGACTTCGCGATGGTTTTGCTTTGTCGGCCATTTCAAATGCGACGAAATGAGTTCAAGCACAGCTTTATCGTCAGAACCCTGCTTATTTTCCTCGAATATATCTTTGAATTCTTCATAAATAAAGCTCTGCCACCTTCAAACAGCGTCGTCTACCGGCAGAATTTCATGGACAAAAACGTTAAAGATACACACCTCTGTAACATTTGGTGCCGTGGCGCAATAGACATCGCGATGACCTAACACGTTGATGGTTTGGGATTTCATTTCCGCCGAAGTTTTTTTTTCCTTTTTTTTTTGGTTGTTTTAATTTTGTTTTCTTAATTTTGACATAATTTTTTTAAACATAATTATTTTCATTTTTTGACAGACTCAACTAATACCGGTAGGTTAATTGCAAGGTCATTACGAGTTAGCCATAGGCACCCTTTGATTTTTCTTTGTGATTTTGTTCTAGTAAAAAGGGTTTTTTGACTTAAATAGTATATTGTGGAAATGCCCCAGTTAAACATAATCCCAATCTTTTCTTGTTTTAAAAGGGTAAAACTTGATTATTTTTATTTCTTATGTTGGAAGTTGACTGTACAGCATAGCCTGTGTACAGACTCTCGTGAAAGAACGAAGATACTTTTACATAGTTAATTTTTTTATGTAATCTTGTATTTCTAACCCCCCATTTCTCGAACACTAACATGAGCGAAGGTAGACTGCGAGCAGCCTCCTATTTTTCTTTTTGAGTCACAGTAGTTCGAGAGCACGCGCGAGAGGGGCGTGCGTGGCAAGGCCTTCTCCTTCTATCATTATTTAAAAAATTTAACTTTTTCGCTCCCCGTGCGTGTTGTGAAGGGAAAAAGGACGACCGCTCGCGTTATAGAACAAAGGAATGCAATAGGAATTTCATGACATATCACATACATTACTTTCTTAACGTAAAAAGGACTTTATTTGCAATCTAATCAACGAATTTACGTAATTAGTAGTTTCCAATTAATATTTAGCCAAGAATTAAATTACTCCTAACTAATTTTTATTTATGGCCGTTACACAACCAAGTTAATTGAGACCTTGTGGCAAGTCTGCAATAAAAAGGTCTAAGAATCTTAAAGAAATCCATATTCTACCAAAATTTCATAATCTAATCTATCTATTTTATTAATCTATCACTTCGTGATTGTATAACGTTGATCACGTATTTCTATCATCCAACGATGCTGTAAAGTCGTGGACCGTCTCAAAAATTCGGCCATAACGTCAGTTTTTCGAAAAAGCACGAAGGAAAAATTTGTGTTTGTGGAGGGGGACGGGTGGGGGAGGAAGTTTTCCGGGGTTAGGGGAGGAAGTTTTCTGTTAACGAACTGGTAATGGACATAAACATGTTCTCCTATGTTATAGCTTGTTAAATCCACAAAGACGGCAATGACGTATAATGACTAAGTCGATGATGATTATGATAACCACACTGAAGAGTTCCACTGTTTTCCCCCTCTTCTCTGATCAGATGTCTTCAGGCTTCTCTGGAACAGCTCAGAATACCTCGAGCTTCCAACCATAGATGGTCAAAAACCTTACAAGAAGACTACTTTAGGTCCAACGCAACTGAACTTCCACTGAATCAGCAATGGAAAGTCATTACTCTGCTTAACTCTTGGTTTGCATCTAGAATAGTCGATTTCAATTATCAGCACGATTAACGCTGTTCTATCTTATTCTGTTCGATAACCTGAGTTTCGCATTGAAGGTCCTGTGTGAAGCAGTTGTGATTTCTAAAAAATAATGGAAACGAAAAAGTTCAATTTAGTACAACACTAAACTAGTTTCAGTTTGATTTTGCCAGAAAATAATTATCAATTTTACAGTTTGTTCACACAATACATAAATAAGATAATTTAATTATAGTTTTCGTTCGACTTTTGGTATGGCTATGTACGATTATACATTAAAAACAAAGGAAAGTTAAATTTGGGGTAGCGGATAAAATTGAACTACAACAACCACTTAAATACGCATCCTCTGAGAGAATATTCTCAATAGCATCTTACAAAATGGGAATTGAACTAGGCAAGCTGGGTATCCCTTCAGTTTCGCCCTAACAGCTAACCCTCTCGACCAGAACGGTCTGAGAGAGTAACCAGAAGGTCATAGGTTAGAATTCTGTTTGGAGTACTCGGATTTTTTTCTCGAGTATCCTGCGAGCAAGCTCTCTATTTGGGGGTAATCGTAGAGCTTGTTAGCAGGCTACAATCACAGACAGAAGTAGTTGGGAAGGTTGTAAAACTTAACGGAGGTCCATTTTAATCCTCAAAAAAGAGAGTTTCTCTTTTGCTAAATATCCCCCGTCCCCCATATTCAATGTTGGGATGTAACAGAACAATTAGGCGCAAAACGTTAACGTTTTGCTCAGCATTGGGCCAGGGCGAGAAGAAGAAGGAAAAAAGGAGGTGAAAAAGCAACCTTCCCAACACTTTTGACGATGATTGTATCTTCTGAGTTGCCTGTGTCAATGACTGAAAAACATATCTTTCTCAAGAGTGATTTTACTTCTTTTGGCATCAGCGACATGACATCAGAACAGGGCATGAGGTACACATCAGCCTACTTTTGCGGTCTTTCTCACCGTGTCTCGTTAGATCAGCCACATGGAATGTGCTTCACAGTAATGATTATGACATCGCTGTATAGGGTTTGAACCCGGAAGTCAGGTCGTAAATAGGTTGAATAGTATTTTGATCAGTCCCGCACAGGAGTGATTGATGTTTTGTCAACAGGAGGAGGTTAACATCTGAGTTAAGGTGAATTGTGTAATGCCGCTTTTATTGAACCATTATCACTGAGTGGGGGAGGACATGGTAGTCGGAGCCCGGAAGAATAGGTGGGGATGGGTTCAGGGAACGGGAGAGGAAAAGGGGGTAGGTGGGAGATTAACCTGCTGGCAAAACTCGTGTCTCCTTTCGCATGCTGTACTCGCGTGACTTCTCGTGACTCCCCCAGATGGAGAGCTTGCTCGCAAGCTAGTGGGAGTTCCAAAAGGGTGGGAAGCGGGAGAAATAGAGGGAAATCCCGCAAAAGTGCTCAATATTGCGCAATCGAAAAAAGGCTGAAGGGAGGAAGCCAAGAAAAAGGGGCAGGAGCCAGGAGAAACTGAAGGCAGGCGATTTGGAACCCCTGCCCCTACCTCTATACTGCGAGTGGTCGTCTTTCTTTCCCCAGAGCCAGAAGCGGCAAGCAAAAAAGTAAATTATGCAAATTAATGGAAAAAGGAGGAGAGGTTTCCCCTCGTTCCTTGCGGCAAAGCCGCTCACCCTTCACGCGTGCTCTCGGTCTACGGTGATTCAAAAGAAAAATATGAGGCTGTTCGCAGTCTACCCCACCTCCAACATCCCCCCCCCCCCCCCACCCCCGCTTACTGAGCTTTCTTACCTCAGACCCGCTTTCATCTGGATCATTAACATACTGGTACTTTTTCTCTCTGTAGTATGACTTTCGTTTTACTACATATAGTACAACTATATCACACAACACTGTTGCCTGGAAAAAACAAACAGAACAAGAAAGTGGTTTGCAGTCTAGATATACATCTGAAAACTGTTGAAGAGCAAATGGGTGTAATTCATGGACGCCAAGAGAACTTTGTAGTAAAAAATATCAACTTACGATTCCTAAAAGAGCGAGACCAGAGCCTATATTGACAAATAATGGTACAACGCTAAATTTACCACCCTGAAAAAGAAAACATACAGCATGAGAATAAAATATACGGAATAATCGTTCATTATTGAGGCCTCTGAATGCTGTAAATTTTTTATTGTGGGAAAAAAATGATCAGCCAAGGTCCTGCTAAACTTCCCACAACTTTACATTTAATAGCTAATGTAGTTAATAAGTTATCGTGTATACAAGCAACAAATTATCATATGCACAAAGAATTGCAGGCAATTTCAAGGAAGTACCAAACAGAAAACTGGTTTTAGAAGAAACTTTTGGAAAATCTGGCTCCTTTCATAGCAGAACATGGCTTACAAACCGATCAGAACTTGAAGCACGTGCATGTAATTTGATCAGGTACTGGTAAACATGTGTAAACAAGTAACATTTGTTTCTTGAAAAAATGGCATGCAATTTTGTAGCCAGTCACATAATGTTCATTACCTGGCCATAAACCATAACGTCAAAGTGAATTCCATAAGCTTTGAATAAGGTTCGGTGTAACTTGCCATCCTTTTCATAGTATCTGGCATATCTTGGAAAAGAGAATATGAACAAAACGTATCGAAATTTGCTGCAGATAAAAATAATAGAAATCAATGCCAACTCCAGTAAAACACAAATAAGTTATAAAGCCTGCTAGAACTTGCCCTTGCTCAGGCTGATTAGATACCTGAAATTATACCCAGCAGCAATTGCAGCATTAGCATCATCAAGTCTAAAAAACGAGAAAGATAAACACAACAAATCAACATTGAAGTATGGATCAAGTTAAGGTTAATAACATCAGTCCTATAGTAAAACATTGATATGTTTCTTGAATAGCTTAGACTGTACATGCAAATTTATTAGGAACTGCTTTATATGTACCATAATAAATACCTTCTGAATGAGTACTTGGGCTGACAAGAATAAGTTAAAGGATCAAAATCACAATCCCAGTCAATGATAATGGCCATTACACCGCCCTGAAGAGAGAAAGAGAAAATAATAATGAAAAACAACATGAAAAAAGAGAAAACACCAACCTCATTTGCAGCAGCCCTATCTCCACCAGGGGATCTTATAAATTACACAAATTTTGGTGCTTAAGACATTTTCTTTTACCTTATAAGCCAGTTTCTTGTAGTCTTCCCCTGCTTCTTTAACGATGGTTCCCAGCTTGATAATCGGGCAGAGAGGGTCAGTCTTAGGGTTATAAGTACAACTCTTTAGATAAGATTCCTTTTTATTGGGTGGAATATTTCGCCTGTGAGACAAAGATGCAAGCAATATTAATTTTAAATAAAACAATAACTTAATTAATTAATTTTAAAAAATAAGGTTCAAAGAGGGAGCCCAGATGAGAAAAATATTGTGTTAAATCACCAAAAAAATTTAACTGTTGTAGTGATGGCATCTGTAATGCAAAATTCTGCCAGATTGCCAAAAATAACATATCTGAGGATCTGAAAGAGCACATGCCAAAGGAACACCTCCCCCCCCAACACACACACACACTACAGTACCTTTCTGTATACCTAAAAGCACCTCTAACCCACCAATTATTTTGTTAGAAACTACAGTTAAAAGGTCAGTTTAGGATGATATCAGCTGTTTTTTGAGCTATTTATATTATTGACTGAAACTCGTTACATTGTCATAAGTCAGTTGAGCATGAGCATCCAGGTGAATGTAGTCCTGAATAGGACTGTTGTTGTTGACAGTGACCATGTTCACCCGGACGATCATACTCAACCACCCTTTCACAGTTTCATTACATTGTCTCCAAAAGTGCCTTAAATTGGCTGAAACTAGCATTGTTGACACAGGTATTTCAGAACAAACCAAACTTTATAAGAACATCTTTAAAATGTCAACTACATAGTATAAGAAAAATTTCAATTCAAAGGATAAGCCTGGAACCCCAATCAGAAAGATACCCTCAGTGCCTGTTAAAAATTAGCCTCCCAAGCAGACATTCTTTGGGGTTCGTCACGCGTTCCTGGCCCACGAACGTCTGCTGTACTGAAAGACAAATTCCTTTCCCATTGTTCGCAAATATCAGCTGGAGATCACATGTAGATTATCGGAGATCCAATCGGCTCTGTTGAAGTCAAAGTGTTGACAAGCCAAACACATACGTACAAGCTCTGTAGAGTGTGATACGTGACCAAAGGTTTTTGCTCCAGACAAAAATCTAGGAGATAAGTGATGGGTTGTTGTATCTCTGTAAAGGCTGGATTAGATGTTGTTTGCTCATTATGCTCATTAAGTTGTTCTTTGGGTGATGCAACAGTGGGGTTACCTTGTAAGACTGAACAAAAGGCAGAATTTTTTTTCACACGTTATTGTTTTGTAGTAAAGCCAACTTCCATTCAGCAAATTTAACCTCCAAGGTAATTTTTTCAATGAGATTGTGAGGGTAGCCACTAGTAAGAACGCTTGTGAGTTAACTGAGTAGTTTGTTCTAAAACTGTAAGGTCTTTACCTTTAATGAGACCTTTCTGATCTTTTCTGTAGCTATAAAGTCAAGCGCGAAATTTATCCGGGTCCAAAGTGCACTTCCCAGATCTGGAAGTCTGCTGTGATTGGTCTACGTTTTTTTCCACTCAAGTCAGCAGACGTTCGTGGGGCAGGAACGCGTGACGAACCCCTAAGAACGTTTGCGTGGGAGGCTAGTTAAAAATTTGCCCCTGCAGGACTGATTGTAAACTGCATTGTTAGAGCTGACCTCAGCTTGAGACGTTTTATTTATAGTCTTAATCATTCCTATCTGGGGTATGGGGGGAGGGAAGCTAGTTAACAACTAGCAGGTAGCTGACTTACCTCCAGGCTGCTATGAGTGTTCAATGCACGATTTCTAACAGTACTGTTGAATTGTGTTTGATGCAACAGTGTAATTTTGTTTTTATTTTCTTCAAAACAATGTATCATAAAAATGATTATTGGATTCAGTTTTTATTATATTCCAAGTAATCAAGGTCTTTGTAAGTGTTATCAGCCAAGACCAAACACTTACACCTCTACCTTGATTATTCTGGATATCACAAAAACCTCATCCAATAACTGTTTCAAAATGGGTGAGCTACAGATAAGATCTTACAATCTCACCCTGCAATCCTTATATTTGCCCAATGGGTTATTCCACCATGCTGCACCATCCCAGACTATATAGAACCCTTCCAAGGTTTTTTCAACTTTCGACATGGACCACCTAGGGAAAATCCATCGACACCACTGGAAAAAGTGCCTTAAGTAAAATTAGTGAAATTGCCATTTTTGAAAGTGATACATCCTTAGTAAGCAAAGATATGGCTCTGGGCAGTTGCAAAAATTTACAGATATTTGTATGGTGCCCTCCCCCCCCCTCCCCACCATACAAACGTCTGTAACATTTTGTGACTTTGAGAAGCCAGGGTGCAAAGAAAGTAATAATTTTTGTAGCATGCCCAGGGCAAGCTGAAGCTAAAATTTACTAGCCCAAACGTCATTTCAACTAGCCCCCAAAATTTTTTGATGAGCAGAATTGATTTCACAGTTCTTCTGTCAGTTGAATTCCTCAAAATACTTCACTTGCCCGTCGGGCAAGTTAAGAACAGAATTTGCTAGCCCAATAGCCAAATCCACTAGCCCCGGGCTATTGGACACTACTTTCTTTGCACACTGGAAGCTATTTCTTCATTAGTTTTCAACAAATCACATTCAAACTTGGCAGTTTTACTAATTTACAGGGGCTCTTTCCAGTGGTGTTGATGGATTTTCCCTAACTTTTCCATGTCAAAAGTTGAAAAAAACTTTGAATGGTCTATTGCATATGTTGGAGCAATGTAGCACTACATTTTGCCTGGCCCTGCATTATTTCACTACCACAGATAATCACCATCACCATAAGTATCAAGACATTTGATAAAATATAAATTACAGGAACATTTCTTAAGTGAATTAGTACATACGCCGACTCCTTAAACTTTGGCCACTGGACACTGTTTTTTATCAACACTGTAAAATCTTCCGTTTTCAAAAGAGGGTCTCCTTTTCTGTAGAGAAACAATAGGGAACAATAAAAGTTGTTTTCCACTAAATGTGTGTTGATTTGCGTTTATTTCCAACACCTTAGATTATTAATTTTATGGAGTGTTATCTCCTAGAATAAGGTACATGAAAAAAATGCTATTAACCCCTTGGGCCCCAATATACATGTACAAATTCTCCAAACTGATCTCTATACATTTCCTTAAAGAATGAGTTGAGAGAATTTGATAAAAGATCAAGGCATTTTCCCTTAGGTGATCATTTTATTAATTCTCGTAACCTAATCTCTTGACATTGTATGGATACTGTTAGGAGAAAATTGATGTTGGTCACTATTGGGACTTAAAAGAGTTAATTTAAAGGATCTTACGTGAGGTTGAAGTTTGGCATTGGCAGAATATCAAGCTCAACTGGACACCATGAGTAAATCTCACAGACATTTTTCCTGGGTGTACCACGATCTGCTTGAATACATTTTCCTGTCTTGATGCCTAAACCAAAAATTAATTTTCAGTAGTAGCTAATAAAGCATTCATTCATTCAGGCTTCTCTTATGCAATTGCATACATTGAGTTAACAAATGCAAGGATCATTCTTTACTTTATTAAAATAATAAAGTATGCAAGCTGATCAAGTAAAAAAAAACAACAAGATGATAAGCTAATAGTCTACAAACCCTGGATGCCAAAGATCTTCTCACTCACCATTAATGACTCTACAAATAGAAGCTTATATTTTCTACCAAAACTCACCATGTCCATACTTGACTGGTTCCATGGCCTGACAGTCGCTGTCACTTTTACAGATCACATCCTTCTCATTAGGGTCTTCAGGGCACTTGCCTTGTGTCTGATCAGGTGTAATAATCATGTTTGTCATCACAAAGAAAGCTCCATTTTCCTGAGACATAAAGAATTCATTGTTAGCAGAAATGCAGTGTACCTGTTCTTTGCCATTAATGCGAAGTCCACCAAGTTCTTTTTTCCTCCTTTTTTGGCATTGTTTTGTTCCAAAAAATATCCTTACTCTTCCCCACAGAAGTTTATTGGTTTAAACTCCCCAATCCCTCCGAAAATTCCAGTTTAGTTTCTTTGTTTTTCCTTTTAAAGTTAGCATTTAAGACCTCTCTCCCCTATCAAATTTTTACTGACCCTCCATGGAGTAGGTATAGAGAAATGGAAACACATTTCTGTAGACACAGACAAATAAGAGAACAAAAATATGAAAAAAGAAACAAAAAACAGCTGAAAAGATTTAAAATGACCATGATTCCTAACACATTAAAAAAATGAACTCTTTGATGCACTGCATTTCACAGTCCATAATTTGCTGCCAAGCGAAATAACATTAAAAGTACACTTAGCTAATATAGATTTTACCAGACTTTAAGACCAATTTTCAAAATTCAGTGCTATCTTAATCCTAGCAAGTCCAAGTTTCTAAGAATAAGAATGCCAGACTCCGTTAGCCAATATTTTACAATACTCGCCATTTTTGGATAGACCATTCTATACTCTTAAAATTGCTAACTGAAGAAATGACCAGAATTTCTTAGCAAAACTCACACAAAAAATCACAAGTCTGTGGAAAAGGCTGTTGAAGAAGAAAGACAAATTACCTCTGGTGGTACGATGTAGTCAGATGAATCCCATACAAACATACCATCATACAGTGAAAAATTACTATGCTTCAATGCGCTTGTCAAGTTGGTCCATGAAGTTCCTTTCACTTTTGTTGTTACTGCACTGTATGGTGTCTGGGTTTCTTGGTAGCCTTTCTCATATATTATGACGTAGCTAAAAAGGTTTTGATCAAAGTTGGTTAACTTACATGTACTCAAGACAACACTATATCACACAGCACCAATTTATGGTGCATGGCTGGCAAATGAAGAATGCACTTTATTTGAGTGTCAATGTAATTAGCACGAAAGTACTAATTGGGGACACTATATTTTACGTCTCCAACTGGAGATGGGGCCGCCATTTTATGTGGTCATCCGAGTCACACGAGGGTCTAGCCATTTGCGGTGCAAGGGCAGTACCTATTTTAAGACCCTGAGTATTGGTCCGGCCCCGGGGAATCGAACCCGCGACCTCCCACACTGCAGTCAACACACTCTACCGACTAAGCTAACACTGCCACATTTAAAACATTCACTTTAAGCACGTTTAGACAATCCTTGTCTCCCACTCTTTTAGTATCACTTTTCTAGACCCATGGCAGTCCTCCTTGGAAGATATTAGCCTCATCCAAGCCTCAGTGATCTTTGACCTACACCATTTCTTTGTTCCTGTAAGAGTAAATTCCCCACTTACTCCACACTATGTCCTGGCCATGGGAGGGAAAGGGAATTAATGTTGACTGTTAATAAATGCTGCATGCCATAATTATTGAAATAAATAAAATCTACGATCTTTTATAACATAGCTAGAACATTCACCTAATCAAATTCAATAGCCCAAGAGTGCTACATATTCCCATTGAGCACCTTGATGACGCAAATAAACTATACCTCGTGAGTTTAGCAATCCCCCCAGGATGTCTCTCAAGTGCATCCATAACTTAACAGTACACGATAAAGCACTAACCATGTGTTTTATAACATAAATTAAAGAGAGAACGTTTGAATTTGTTGACTGATAGTAGGGAAAAGAGGTGAGTGTTGTCATCTGTGCCAGCTGTGTGGGCTATGGTGTGTGCAAATCATTCTTTGCAAAGTTGTTTCTTTCAAAAAGAATTTTTTGGTGAATAATTTTTTTAATTTAGTTACTATTGTAGTTTCTCCTAACACTCTATGCTCTTTTCATTTTGTGCATCAATAAATGAGATGCTACAACCAGTTGCAAAAGTACTTGAGACACTGTACCGTATTTTGGCATAAATGGCCTGTCCATGATCTTGTGCTTGTGATCCCCCCTCCACCCCTTATCAAAGTTGCTAGCAATACAAGACCATACTCAAAACTTGGAGGAACAACTTTGAATGGGAGGGAGGAGGGAGATCAGTATTATATTTTACAGACCTGTGACCAGGAGCGATTTGAAGCAAGAAAGGTCGTTTTTCCGTGGGAGTGTCGCATCATTTTTGCAACTGGTTGTCTGAGTCCTTCATACCCCTATAGCCGTGGTGCACGATTATTAAACGGGGTAAAACGTGGTGCACTCTTAGCATCTAAGGAGGTGGTTATAAAAAACAGTATTTCATTTTTGTCGGTTTGCCTGTTTAAAAATGGCGAGACAAAAACGGCAGTTCTCGGCCCTTTTGTTTATGTGGTAATATGCAACAACTTGGGCTTTTAAAGGAAGCACGTGGCAAAAGATGCCACACCATCTTAAGTAAGCTGCAACGAAAGGGGTTTTTGGTCCTAAAACGCTACAGAGATGCGAAAAATAATATATTTTCTTCGCACTCGGTTAAAAGATGTTTATTTATGGAAGGAAAGTGACGTAAGATGCCCCGCTAGATCAAGGAGATAGCTTTTTGTTGTTGTTTCCGATAAGTACGTGGACGTGGTTCCTCTTTTATCGCCTGCCATTTACAGGAAAGAAAAGTTACGCTAAAAAGCAGCTGTTGGCGACTTCACTTTACTTAACACAAGTTTGGATTTGTGTTTACTCTTTGGTCGTCTTACAACTTTGTTTCGATTTTGAAGCCCGAGTGTGGCTATAGGCATCAGATAATGAAAATTCACGTGCGTATTTCAGTAACATATTCGCGAGAGCTCGCATATAACGTGGCTTTGTAGTTCTGTACTTGGTAAGGACATTTATTTCTTTGCAAAAAGGAAGACACTATCCCCAAGAAAAGCAATTTTCCAGCACAGCAATGTCAGGAATTTACATGCTTCAACGGTCTACACGGTCTACACGGTCTACCATCATATGAGATAAATATAATAATATATTCTATTTGTTACTGTTGCAGAATGGTAGACCGTGGATGATGGTAGACCGTCCGAAAATAGAAATTAACATAGCACACAACTTTTTCTGCTCTCTAGCTCTAACCGACTTTAATAACCATCTTATTTTCACTGAAGTAGACGAAAAAAAACTGAATGGTTTTACTTTAACAGCGATGTTGAAAAATAAGTCACGCGGTATACCGATTACATAACGCCATTGCATATCAAATGTCATTGCGTTACAGATACAGGGGTGAAAATGAAGGTTTGGCAACTTTATTCGCAACTATAGTATCTCGAAATAACAAGAAAAGGAAAATTATGCTGTTATTATGCATTCGCGCTTCTCAGAGTTTAATTACAACGCCGAAACTTTACGGTATGTCACGCTAGATAATGGCGCATGCGTTACAACAAAACTGAGGCAAAATTGACAAGTCACGACATTCTTAAGCGCTTTTTTAGGCAGTTTGATATCAATGACAATGATGTATCGGCTGGGAAAAGCAACACAAAGTGTCATTCTATTTATTTATGTCGCTGTAGTCTTCGTTTTGGGAATCTAAGACGTGGAAATCGCTTGTTGAAGTAAACCTTAAAATAATGAGACAACCAGTTGCAAAAGTACTTGAGACACTGTACCGTATTTTGCCATAAATGGCCTGTCCATGATCTTGTGCTTGTGATCCCCCCTCCACCCCTTATCAAAGTTGCTAGCAATACAAGACCATACTCAAAACTTGGAGGAACAACTTTGAATGGGAGGGAGGAGGGAGGTCAGTATTATATTTTACAGACCTGTGACCAGGAGCGATTTGAAGCAAGAAAGGTCGTTTTTCCGTGGGAGTGTCTCATCATTTTTGCTACTGGTTGTAGCTCCTTCTACTAACGTTTGTTAGTAAAATCAGAAACTCATAAGGTTTCTGGTAAAATCCAACTAGTGGTCTATTATCAATGCTGTGTTCTGATTGGTTGAGCTACTACTAGGCTATTTTTATGTTATAGCCCACTAGTAGCGAAAAGCGTGGGCTTTTTGGCAGCAGAAAAGGAATAAAGTCTAGCTTCAACTAGATAAACTTTTTTTATTCTTGATATTCTTGACCAACTAGGTGGATTTTACTAAAACAGTTATTCCTCTTGCCCTCATGGCCTCTGAGTTAATAGCCCATTTGGCCTTCGTCCTCATGGGCTATTGACTCAGAGCCCATTCAGGCTCGAAGAATAAAAACAGCCTATGACTATTTTTTATTCAGATGTGGAGCCTCTATCAAAATATTTTCCTGTACCATTACACCTTTCTCCTTATACTAGAATTCTTAATGAAAACCCTGTAAAGAGGCAGGAGTATGTTTTTACCCAAGCAGGGGAAAATTGTGATTTTCATCCCACTTTCCAACATATTAGACCATGATATTGTGTAGCCAAATGTATCCCTATTATGAGGGTCTAGTTGATTTCAAAAGCTATTTTTAGTCCCTTTTTCTTTTTGAATGGACCAGAATGAACAAACAAGAACACTCTTACAGCAGCGTTCAGTCTCGCTTGCTTGGAGATTAGATCGAGAAATGAGGAGGTGATTAATTCTCAACCAAACAAGATTTACTCACTTAAGGTTTTTTACTTCCTACTTTATCGACGTCGAGTATTCTTCAGGATATTTACTTTTTATTTGTTGCTGAACTGATTTTAGTACACGTGTTAGTGACGAATGCAAATTCGTCTGCAACCCTCCAAGTTAAAGTTTTTGCTTGGTCGCCATTTGGTGACCAATTCTTTTGGTTTAGCAAGACTTTTTACAAATCAAGTCGCCAGCTTTAAAGTTTTAGGCACCATGGCAACCAAAATGGTTGCAACTTGAAGGGTTGGTCTGTGGGCACAGCCTATATGTACACGTGTATAAATACACGAAAATTCAAGGGCCTCAATTCCAGATAAATTACATTGACAAAAATCAAAAAAGTGATTTACATGGCACTTCATTTCAATCATCGCCGAAAATAAAGCGTATGCTCATCACAAGATTCATTTGTAAACAATGAAAGTTTACAACACCCAACCATCGCAGTTGTGCTAAAAAGGATTCTTATTTTTTTCCGACCATTCAGTAGTGTTCACTTGTTCCAAAGTAATCAACGCTTTCAAGCATCAGAATTCATGGACCGACAGGTTTTGGAAAAGCTCTAAATTTAATCTGTCCTAAGCTTTCTTCGCAAAACGTGGGTGGCTTTGGTCATGCAATGATTCTTATTCCCTGATTCCACAGTCTCCACTAGGAACGCCTGGCACAATGAACCCCCTTTTGTGCCATAAATACGAAGAAAAATGGGTTGCAGAGTATGAGTCCTGCCTCTTACGCAAGCGAGACTAATTAGCTCAAATTGCAAGACTACGTTAGCTACTATTATTGTCACTGAGGTAAGAAAAATTGAGGTAAAGATCTGAAAGCATACCAGTCACTGATACCAAGTTTTATTTAACATTTTAAGTAATGTTATAAATCTGCAAGTACAATACACTCGCAAATTTGATAACTTGAGTTTTGCAGTTATTCGCGGGCTGAATGTGAGCACGTCGCAGTTTTCAAAACCAACTACACCAAGAGAAAATGAATACTTACATGATGATGTAGCAAATTATAGTTAGCTGAACCAGTCGGTTGATGATCCCAATTGTCTTGCTTTGAATATGAACCACTTTGCTCGTGTTATACTCAAACAGCGCGGAAGAAACTGCCCTGCAAAAACCGCCTGCCATCTTGCTTCCACCGGAAGAAGAACAGTGATTGTTCTGGCTTGGTTACAAAGCTAGTTGTCCTTTTGGCCAGAGTTCAAAAGAGGCGTCATAAAAATTAAATATCTGAAATTATGGGACTAGTCAGGATATTCTGAAAGAACAGCGTCCATGGTCCAAAGGGCCGACTTGCCAAAAATGCGCATTTCGGGGCAAATTGTCTTTGAGATATTGGCCCGGTTATCACCTGATTATGCTCTGATAACTCCATTCAAACCCTTCGAAATTTTTTGGGGGTCGACCCAAAAAATTTACAGACCGAGTACAGACATTATGTTCCAGGCTCTCAGACTGAGTGGGGAAGACTAAAAATAGAACGTGATGAGGACTGCGCCTGGAGTATTTGCTGAAGTAGAAAATGAAATGTGTCAAGCTTTTAAAGCCGGTTTCTTGTGTGTTGCTTGCCAAATATCATCTTCATGTTCGGAATTGTTCACTTCAATATTATTGATTGTTGTCGATTACTAACGATTGTTATCGATGTCTATCGATTTACGTTATCAATCGACGGATTAAATCGATTGATATAGATGATATCGATTGATTTCCGATATCGATTTCTATCGATCACGTCTGGATTGTTTGTCAATAAATCCCTCTTTCTTCTTCACAAACACAGAAGCTCCTAAGGTTTCTCCTTTCTACAGTCAACTCTGTCGTAAGCGACCACCCTTGGCGCACTACAAAGTGGTCGCTTACGGGAGGTGGTTGTCTACGGGAAAAATAGAGAAAATGAACTTAAATTGAACTGAAAGTTATAACCTGACAAGCTAAGACTGGCAGACATCGAATAGCGCTTAGAACTGTTAAAATCATTATCAGCAGCTGGCCAAATAAACTTTGTACGGTACATTTGGCAACAATCCACTTTTTTTACCTACAGATCGTATAACAGCCATCTTTTTTCTTGGTCAGCTGCTATAAACTGTCAGCACGCTTGGTCATCAGCGGTAGCTTGCATGACAGGCGCTTTATGAGCAAAGCCAGGCAAACGCAGCATTTTGCGCGAAGCGCGAAAAAGAGGGGAGGAGAAAAAATTAAAGCCTTATTTTTTTCTCCTCGCTTGGCTCATAAAGCGCCTGTTATGCAGGCTTGGTCAACGCTTATAAAAGCTAAACTTTTGTGACATTAGAACCAAGGTTTTCTTAAAATAAAAAGTGATCACGCCGGGTCGTCGCTAACAAAGAAACAGGAAAACAAAAGCGCTGAATATGTCGAGTTTCTGGTTTAAAAAGTGGTCGCGGTCGTTTAATAAATTTAAGTAGTGGTCGCTTACCAGAGAGGTTTTTTTTAATCACTATTTGACTGAAAAACAAAACAGTTATTGATAAAGTGGTCGCTTACGGGAGGTGGTCGCTCGCTAGGCATTGGTCGCGCGACCAAAGCAGCGGCCGCGCGATGTAGCGGTTGCGCGATTCTCTCCTCCGCAGGGGCTCCCGCTGGGTATCCCAATAAAAATAGCAATACATTTTCCCCCGCGCGCTTTCTTTTCCCCTCCCTCCGGCCCCCGCTCCCTACGATACTAGGCTGAGATAGAACGGGAACGTCAGTTGACGACGGCGCGCGCAAATCAAACAACTGGCTAGACCAATCGCAGAGCGGCAAATTGGGCACCGGAAGTAGCGTTTAGTCCTTTCCCGTGCGCTTTCCCGTCGTCAACTGACGTTCCCGTTCTGATGCTAAATCAGCCTACTAAGAGGCCTCTGAGGAGGAGGAAGGTGGCGCGACAAATGTAGCGGTCTCTTACCGGTCGCCACTAGAGGAGAGTTGACTGTACAGCGCTGTAAGAGCTAATTCACAATTAAATTTTGTTTTTCTTTATTCCCTGTTTTTACATTATTGTCTCATTAATATTCATATTTTCGATTATCCGGGCTCTCGATTATCCGGATTATTTACTCAAGTGCCAACGAGTCTGGATAATCGAGTTTCGACTGTAGCGGGATTGTATTACTAACCAATCCGTTAAGTCACCCCTAGATTTTTCTACGGAGGAGATCTACACATTTATTTAAAACTTGAGTTGGATCCATGGTGAGTTGTTTATTCCACAGAATGAGTGACTTTCAAGCATATGACCCCACGCCAGACAGGTGGAAAAAGAACCAGACAGGTCATCTCTCTCTCCTCTACATGCGCAGAAGAGCTCTGGGTCTAGATTGACAGGTGGAAATTTAAAGGTGGAAATAGGGACCCTTGAGCGCGCATTAATGTTCTGCATGAAGATTGACGACGATGCTGGAATCTCATTGGTTTGTAGCTTAGCGCGCGCTTTTGTTGCCATTGTTAAGTCACAAAGCGAAACTTCTCATTCGGAAAGAGAATTTTACAAGATTAGACGTGTTTTTAAAGCTCCTAAGTTTTTGAGAGAAAAAAGCGCTTGAACGTAAAAATGGGACAAGTTTACAGCTCCTATAAGATGAAGAAAAGAGAAAAAGCTGATCGCAAAAAGTAAGTGTTTGAGTTTTTGTAATCTGCTCAAGATTATTTGCCAAACTCAAAAATCTTTTTTCAAGATGAGGAATGACCTATTCATTTTTTGGCATGTTTTGTTTTTTCATGCTTTTGCTCTTCAGGCGTTTGCGAGAGTTTTTTCTTTAAATCCAAACCGAGAGGAAATCGCAATTTTTCTTTCTCAAGTTTGCTCGCTTTTGGTCCAGTTTTTATTTTGTGCGTTAATTTCTGATCATCCTTTGAGAACCAAGGAGGAACTTATCCAGACGGGAAATACTTTGCCTATCTTATTTGATTATAGAGGCCATCTGGCAGTTACGCGTGGTACCGTACGGCCTGGTTCACATAACGGACGATTCTGATTGGTGAAGTGAACTGCATTCTCTAAGAGAGTATCGGATTAATAATAACTGCTAACTGGGGCTATGAAGCTTAGCTCACGTTGGCACTAGGTACTGAAAAGAATTATTCAGTCAACAACAATGCCCTTATTTTAAACTGCATAGATTTTCTGTTTTATTTCTCAGGTGGCAAAGAGAGCAGCTAAAGAAAGAAGCAGAATGTATTGTTCGTCTTCAGGAAGAACAACAGCGTTTAACTGAGTACGTTGACTAAAGTCGCCTAAAATGACATGTTACCAGCCAGCAGAATTTAAATGTCTCATATTTTAACTAGAAACTAATTAGGCAGACGTCGGACAGTTTCAAACAAAGAAATGGATAAAGGGGTGGGGGTAGAGATGTAGGTCCGTGGAAAAGGATGAAATAACTCAATTTAAGTCGTCTTCTCCACTCTGTATTCTTTACCTGAGACCCCTTTGAGGTGAGATCACGGTAACGCCCAGTGATTTTCCTTATTCTCTAGAATACTCGAAGAGCATTATGTGTATCAGCCGGACTTACGTCCAGAGCCTAGAGATGGCAAAGAATGCAAAACCATCGAAATGACGGAAGAAGTTGAAGCTTTGGAGAGAAAACTTTTCCTTGAAGAAACTGCACTCGATGTTACAGACGAGAGATGCAACTTTCTGGACAGAAATCTAAGGTGAGGATGTGTACGTCAAGAAAACTTTAGTATCGCTTCGGGCTCTCTCAGATGCCCGTTTCTATTAGGCCCTGTTGGGAGTTCGTTACCTGTCCATAGGTTTGGAGAGACCTTTGGGTACTTGTGCCGCGAAATACTCCTTGAATGTCAGATTTTATTATATGGCTGAATCCGCGAGCGGGCAAGATGTAGTGTATCCCGCGTTCTGATTGGCTACCCAAGCGAGCAAGATATAAGCCCATCTTGCCGGCTCGGGATTTCCCGCGTTGATCCCGCAAGAAAATCTTTTCTTTTTGGCCATTTAATAAATCCTTTATTGACCAAGCTTGTTTGGTCAAGATGGCTGTATATTGGCCTTGTTCTTTTTTTCATTTTTATTGACCTCCACTTCGTCTGCTCCATAAAAACGTAAAAAGGAAAAATCCAGCCGTCTTGACCGACTAACTTGATCAAGAACGCATATAAACTTGTTCAAAGTCGCGATCGAATGACAGTTTCAGGATTTATCCTGGGCTTTGGAAAATTTGCATATAAAAAAAGCGTGCAAACCAAAAAAGGTAAAGTTTTTCACTGCTGACCTTTTCATCTAGGGAAGGTTCCAAATCCCTAATCAGCAGGGTCTCCTTTATCTTGCAATGGGTGTCCGACCGCCCTTTTGCCAAAATTTCAAAATGGTCCCTTTTCATGTTATCACCACTTGACGTGACATGGCTGCCAATAGGCGATGAGTGATTGCTACTCGTAATGGATTTGATGGAATGGATTTGGTGGAATATAAATTCTACTGATAAGACTGATCGAGAATCCACTACCTGGAAATCCGAAATCCACAGAGTGAAATCCAGAATCCTAGAATGTCTTGTATCAACCTCGTTCCCAGGGTTCTATCCTGGAGAGAGAACCTGGGAACGAGGTTGGTGTTGGATTACCCAGAAGTCGTCACGTTACGTTGCCATAGTAGCAAAATTTTTGGATGACAACAAACCGATAAAGTCACCTAAAAGTCTATTCGCACTATTTCAAACTTCACCGATCTTATTCAATTTCATTTAATTTGGCAAATCTTGGGAAAATTTTCTTTGGGCCGTATCTATCGTTATCTAAGTTTAAAAAAAGAAAGCGACAATACAACAACAACAACATCTTTATTTCTTACATCAAATATACAAATATCACAATTTTTGTGCTTTGTTCACCTATTCCATAAAGCGGGCTGGTGAAATTAGGAAGTTTCATGTCGTAGTATTTTTTGCCGTTCTCCTTGCCGTCGTGGTCGTCGTTGGTTTTGTTGTCATCCAGAAATAGTGCTACCATAGTAACGTGACGTCACACTTTTCCTCTCTAATTGCCTCTTGCATAATTTGAAAGGTGCCCCAGGCCCCGGGGAAAAGTACTTAGTTAACCTATTTGCATTTTGTTCCTTTGCAGTCTTCTTCAACAAAACCAACTTGATCTTGAATATGAGCGACCAAGCCGTCAGAAAAACCTGGCTGCATTAAGAATTAAACACGAGGCTTGTCAGTTTAACCTGTATCAGAAGGCAAACCCGATTGAACAATGGACTGTCAAATCGCTCCCAAACCTGTGGTTTACTTCCTTCTAAATTTTAATTTGTATGCGGATAAACTTAAACTCCCATATCATGCATTGAGCACGTGCCTTTAACCCAAATGTATCATAATATATAGCGTTAGATTTTATCAGTCATCTCTGTTTGTGTACGTAGCTGTATTACATATAATTGATGTAAATACATGTAAATGTTGAGACAGTACATAGAACATTAGCCAGGAGTATATGCCTGTTTTATAGCCCCGCAGTAGCCTCCCTAAACGTAAGAACGTCTGCGTGGGAGGCTACCACCGCAGCTCACATTCTTGGGGGTGCGTCACGCGTTCCTGCCCCGTGGGTTCTTTTTTCGCCAGCAATTTTACATCTGAAGCTGCCTAACCCAAAGCCGATAGTGTCTGATAGTTTTCAGCATTTTTCACTGATGAACTCATTATATTCGTTTTCCCAAAAGGTTCGGCTTGTTATGTGTGCGCCCCATAGTTTCTCTCCCTAATATGAAATGAAACTGTAGACTTTCGAAAAATCATTTGCGAAAGCGAAGGTTACACCCAGGAAGTGACAAGGTTTGCCTATCTGACCGTCACGTGCGCTTTAATAATCACATGCGCCTGCATTTTCGATCGCCTCTCTCCCTCGCCCCCTCCCCTTAACTCCTTCAATGAAATATTTTTAAATAGCAGTGTATACTGAAAGCTCTCCACTCGGGGGTGAGAGGTGGGGAACGAAAAGGGAACAAAGATATAGAGAAACCTGTATTAAGCGGACCAATACAGGTTTCGATAGATAACGTCATATGAGGTGTCAAATGCGTGGAAAGGTTTAGAATACTCCCAGAGACCATGACGATATACGTTTACATTAATTTCTTTATTAAAGTGGACCATTTGATCATAGTACCATAAATATAAATTGCAACTCAAATTTGAAGACATCAGGTGAGTAAAACAAGCTCTATACAAACAAAACGAAACAGAAAACAATACTGTACTGTGAAAGTAATCAAATAAGTTCGCTAAGTCACGTTTTTTAACGTAAAAATCGAAAATTTGTGAGTGGCCATCTTTCGCATTTCCGGTGTCTGGCATGTTGGGTGGTGGAATTAAGTACAAGTGTCCTAAAATACTAGCTCTTAGAAGTTCGTCACGCGTTCCTGCCCCACAAACGTTCTTGGGGCAGGAACGCGTGACGAACCCCTAAGCTAAGAACGTCTGCGTGGGAGGCTAGTTTAATACCGGTTGGCAATAGAAAAGACCATTTCAGGTCTGCGTCCGCTTATCACAGTAGAGGTGTCCGCTTAATAAAGGTTTCATTTAAAGTAAGTAAGGGAAATAAATTTGGGGACTTCGGCTACTGTCCGCTTAATAGAAGGTGTCCGCTTAATACAGGTTTCACTGTATGTCTATGATGTCCCGGACATATCACTGTGACACCGGAAAATTGTCGACTCGGATGGAGTGGGGTGGGGGTGGTTAAGGAAAAGAGAGTGAAGTTACGTATATCACGTATATACTGTAGTCATATCCGTTAAGGTCTCTAAGTCGAGGTGGAGCGGTGGGGAAGGAATATGGATTGAAGATTATTTATCTTATTTACTCAATTCAATTACACAGATAATCAAAATAGTACATCTAAAAAAGATACGACAAAAATGACACATCCCTAAAGCTTTCGACTTGGAAGGGAGGGGTGGGGGTGAGGAAGGAAACCGCGGAAGTAAAGAGCTTGCTCATGCTCCAAAACTAGTTTTTGGAGGACAAATTTTAAGAAAAACACGTACAGGAGACATTTCCTTTTACTCCATTGCTACCTGTGTGGCTGTAGTTTAAGGCAAAAAGAGGACATTTAGTGCAGATTTGAATCAAACACAAAGAAGCGTGTTTCAACAGGATTTACAAAATAACAGGATATAGGCTAAGACCAAGCTCATTCTCTCTTAGCTAAGACAGATCCGGCGTTTCGGGCTTCAATTTTGTAATTGGACATGGCCTTTGAACACTCTCTCGTAATCATTTAATTCAATTCTTGGTTAGCTTTTTGCAGTCACTGCTGACGAAGAGAGTCTCTTTTAGGGTTAATACCTTCCACACGAAATCCCGAATATCGTCCTAAATTTGCTCCAAAATCCCGAATCCCGAGCCCGAAAAGCCTATTGGGGATGCTCGATGAAAAATCGGGGAATATAAAATTACCTTTTCAGCTGTCCGATCAGTCTTGCATTTTGTTTTTTAATACTACTAATTTTGATTTACACCAAATCCGACTTCACTTCGCTCCGCAATATAATAGTCTGGTGCCGTTGCTGAGGCCAAGGCCATCTGTTTCGACGACGCGCTGTGACGTCATTCAAGATGGCTTCCGGCCGGTGTTAGTTGTGTGTTTATTTTCGTCGCGAACAGCCTGCAAGCTGTTCGACTTTCTTAACTTTTTGCTTTCATGTGAGATCAGAACGATGGCCTGTGTTTAATACAGGTCTTGCAATTATTCCACGATTCAATCAACAGCTCTTGTCTATCGTGGACGAAAATGTTGATCAAGGAATACAGAATTCCTCTGCCGATGAGCGTTGAAGAATATCGCATCGCTCAATTGTATATGATTCAGGTAAGCCAATTTTTTTTAAAAGAGATCTGATGCAAAACAGTCTTTCTGAGTACAAATCTGAAAGCACTCTCCTCGTTGCCTTTGAAAGTGACACCAGGTTCGACTTCGTTAAAGAACCTTCGATCGCAAATGACTGTTTGCTAATATCAGAATTTATGTACCGGCCTTTGCTGTCTGAAACTCGCAAACAGCCGAGAACAGGCGAAATTTTCTTGTATATATTTGTACCTGAAAGGAGTTTAAACTTGAGGTCACTAACACCATCTTCATAGCTGATCGAAAAAAGTCTTGGCACGACATTAACTTTTGCAGCATGATGCATCACTTGCCTGTCAATAACTCACTTTCGTGACAGCTTTAAAACTAACGTACCTTCGCAACAAACGAACGAACCTTTTATCTCAGACGTAAACTAACTGTAGTTCAGGCTTAAAAACAAAGTTTGGAACTCTTACATTAAACGCCATTTAGAACGAAGGTGAGATCAAGAAGTCAGTGGTAGAAATAAGTCGATATTTATGGCGTTTCTTTTCGTTTCGTGCAGAAGTACATGTTTGTCAAGTTTCTTATAAATGCCAAAATATAAGCTTATGTGCGTGAAATGTCCATTTGTATGCAATGCTAGTGTCTGCGCTAACACATTTGACTTAGCGTGGGCGATCGGACATGTCCTTGCATTAAAACCTGTTATTTTCTATTCTTTGAATTCCAGATACACACATATGTGCCCTAGAATGCTAGGTTATTTTTGTATGCATGTTGTATTCCAAAGAAAAAGTAATATTAACTGCCACGAAAGATATAGTAATAGAAAAGCAAGGTTCCAGTAATATTGAAAGTTCAGCTTTCATACTAAAAAATAGTGTTCTCTAAATTTGATTACTACCTTTGTTCCAACTGAATATTTTGGCATTACTGCAAAAGACGACTCTGCAGCGGTCCATGTTTGATATTAACCCATTCAAGATAATATTCATGATTTTATGACATTTTATCCAGTTAAGATAAACCATCCTAGATGCCTTCTTGCTCCCAGATGTCCAGTTTGATTTTTAGCCAAGAGAATATGGTCAGTGATAAATAATTACCACTTGCAGCTGCATTCATTCAGTCTGAAATGAAGTAAACAAAAATAAGTGCATCTACAACTTTTGCCGTTGATAACAGTTTTATTTATGGTAACATATAAAGAACTTGAGGTTTTTTAAGAGAGTGGAAAGAAAGGTACTTATGAAACAACTTTTTGTAAATTTCAAGAGCAACGATAGCTTCGATCAATAGTATTATGCGCTTTAATAAGCTTATGATATGTGAGCATTAACATGGAAAATCCTTTAAATATTCTTTTCAAATGTTGTCCATTCTTACTTTAATTATGTGAATTATTGTTATTTAAGTTTTTTTTGCAAATTCATCTTCTTTGCACAAGGATCACCATACATATTTTAAGGTTTTTTTGTCATCTTTATTCGTTTTACAGCAGTAAATGCCTTAATCAACATTTTTTTTCAATGGTGGTAACAAGTTAAGATTTCTGTCTTTTTATCAAAAAGCTGGAGCATTTTTACCCATTTGCAAAGAACAAGCAAGTGAAAATTTCTCATCAAGTATAAACATATCCCCCATGCAATGTCAAAAACAAATAGCAGTGTGTTATAAAGTTAAAACCCAAAGAAGAAGCTCAGAATGGTTTTATACTTTTTTCGAAAGTATGTACGGCAAGTTTGCATATTACATGTATGAGTGAAGGAATGAAAATCAATAGGCTTTAGACTGTTTTGGCCCAAAAAACCGATAGTGAAATTCAATGGGGCAATTCTTTTTATTGTGATAATTACTTTGTGTGGCCAGTACCGCTGCTACCTGTACATCCATTTACTGATGAGTGTTAGTAGTGATCAAACAACTTACCATTCTTCACTATGTATGTAAGGGGGAAATGCAGGGACCCACTGAAAACTGCTAAGGCGAGTGGTCTCCCTGGATAAAAATTATATTATTATTATAATTATTAAAAATCGAAACTTTTGCTGAACATCAGATTGCAAGCATTTGTACTTGCAATATTGGTGAATACTTCAGCTGAAATGCCTTGGGGGTCTTACAATATGAAGCAGTACCTGCTCATAGCCAGCAGGATCTGGATAGCCAGCAGTCAGTGCAGGGGGATGACAGAATTCTCAACATGGATTGAACCTTATAAACCATAAGGGCTCATACAGGTCACGGAAAACCTGGAAAGTCATGGAATTTAAGAAAAATTTCGATTTCCAGGCCTTGAAAGTCATGTAAACTTAAAGTTTTGTTTGATAAATGAGTTACTGCAGATGACAAGGCAAGGATAATTTAAGATAGGGAGGAGTAATTAAACAGTGCAAAGGGCATGGACTTCGGTAGACACCAGAATTTGTGTCTGTTGAATTGTTTGACAGGGGCGGATCCAGGATTTTTTTTAGGAGGGGGTGCACTCGTCTCTTGCTCTACTTCAACACCAATAAACCACATAGTTTTTTTTTCTTTTTTTTTGCAGAATACCAGTTGTATTAGAAAACCGCAGGTCATCTGGGGGGGGGTGCGCACCCCCTGCACCCTCCCCCTAGATCCGCCCCTGTTTGACGTCATAAAATACCCTAAAACAAGGAAATTTTTTAAAATTTTTGAAACTGACCGCTAAACCTAAAGTCTTGGAAAACTTGAAAAGGTCATGGAAAAAGTCATTGAAAGTCATGGAATTTGAAGAGCTCATAAGAGTATGAACCATGACCATAGCACCTGTGATGGGTGTTGAGTTGATCACTTCAACATAAATTTTTGTAAGGCCTGTTTGCCATGTGCCATATTGTTACCAATGCTTACAAGAATGGAATAGTTTTTTTGAAAAGTAATTATTGACAATCCTGGATGGTTTTTGAGCAAACTATTTCTGTAAAGTTTTGGTGTTACTTTTCCCTCTTTTTTTGTTTGTGTATTTTTTTTCTTAGCATGACTATTTGTATCCCTTTGAAGACTAAACAAATAAGATGATAATATCGTATAGGTGGCAAATTTCTCCCTAATTTTGGAGAGACATGAATTAATTTTCAGTGTTACATGTACCGGTAATTAATGCGAAATAACAAAATATGCAGTACCATCATGTGGAGGATATACGGTATATTGATCACCAAAAGATGAAAGAATTGATCATTCATTGTACATTGTACTGGCTCACTAAAGGGGAGCATGAAATAAAGCCATGAGTAATATCTGATCTCATCTGATCTGAAATGCTCTCTTTGATTCACAAGGCTAGTGCAGATCATGTCTAAGTAAGGGAAATAGTGCTGCGCACAGATGACGTCACAAAAAAAAAATTGTGAGCCCTACCAAGCTTCAGACAAACATGGCAGTTGACCTGCACCGTTCTAAACCTCTTATTTCATTGGTCCCCTTTAATGTGCACTTCCATTGTTTTCAGGGATTAGATGCCTTGTTATGTCACAATCCCTATTGTTTTCCCAGCCAGTCACTTCGCTTTCTTTCTGGATTTCTCGCTTTGATTTAGTGCCTCAGACCACTTTTTCAGACATCCTTGAGTCCCTCTTACATTCTTCCCAGCTGCAACACTTGCTGTTTACCATTTCCCGATAAAAATACATAAAAAACATTGTTTTGACTTAACACTCTGTGAACGTGCATACAAAGCCATTGAGTGAGAAGCAAAGACTATCTGAGTCGTGAGGGGGGTCTCATCTGACGTAAACTATTTTTTTAGACTATTGAAAAGAGAATTGACAGGTTGACATCTTATCAAAAGTCATTTATGCCTAGTTTTATTGCAGGCACCATTCAAATGATGGCTGTGGAAAACTCCTGATATGTTTTGTATTTTGTTCCTCAAAAATGTGGAGCTTGCTTCTTATCACCCAAGCAGCTGTTTAATTCTCTTATTTATGGATACAGCTGTGAATAGTAATTTAATATATTTATAGATTAGTTACTCTTAAAGTTCAAAGTGTAATATTCAATTCAATTCATTTCTCTCAATATGTAGCAAGTTCAGTGTGTTAGAATTACATAATCAACTTGTGTTTCATTTTTGAGGTTCTCAATCTAATTATTATTTTTTTTTTTGAATATAAGATATTAATTAGTGAATAAATAATGATGCAACATATATACTACATGTATTTTACACACATTTACATGTATTTAATTAATATTTCCCAAGTAATACTGCTTTCTGCTCTTGCTATTTATGAATACTTTTAAAAAGTCTTAAATTGATTTTGAAAGCCATAAAACCTTTGAGAATAATATGATATTGACACCATATCGTGCTTAAAAAGTCTTTCTTGTTTAAGTGATGAAAAATCCTTATCTCACCATATTTTAGGCTTAAAATATCATTCTTTAACTTTTTAATCTTTCAATAAAATAAAATAAAAATTAACCCTTTTTGGCTGTTGTGCGTATGGTCCATTAGGTTCGCCGTTGAGAGCAGTCATTATGACCAAATGTAATTTGGTACTTGTTTAGGTCACCATGGTGACACTTTTTACTCGTATTAGTCAAATGCCAAACAATACTTCAAAGGCTTACATGTGATCCTGGTAATGAAAGTGAAAGTTGCAAATGACATTTCTTTAATTTTATTATATTCTTTGAGATTACTTCAATTAAAATCTATTTTGGCAAATGCAAGGAGTTGCCAGGTGCCTGCTGATTGTATCATGTGTGTTTGACCAGGCTTAATGGGGTCTTAATGTTACTCAACAAAAGTAGATGAGGGCCTACCCTTTTCAACCTTACCATGTAAAAAAATAAAAAAATAAATCACATACTATTTGCAAATTGTTAATGAACTTTGTATACTGGCATTCTGTGGGAGGGGTGGAGGGGGGTGCAAAGATGGAGTGTATATAATTTGTCACATTATTTCCATGGGTAAAGTGTATGTATACCTCCCTGGGTTGATGAGATAGGAGAGTCTGGTTACCTCTTAGCCTGCATAGCAGGTGCTATGTTGTAGCATTTTTTAGGCAAGCGAATGCAAGCGCAAAGTGAACAAGGAGTGCCAGACATGGGCAAGGGGGTGAAGGCGAAGGGAAACAACTCTTCCCATTGCGTGTGTCTCGTGATCCATGCTTGTAACACACTTTCCTTTGCTTGCCAGAAAAACGCAAAAAAATGACGCCTGTCATACAGGCTAGGTATCGCTGTGCAGTTTTTTGCCTTTAAGTTTTTGTATCTTTTTTTAAAGACCAAGTGTTCATTTCTTTTGTCAACAACTGTTTAGAAAAAAAGCAGGCTGGATAGTGTTGGTGAAGGAAGTGGAGTGGAGATTCTTGAAAACATACCCTACACAGATGGACCAGGAGGCAGTGGACAGTACACAAAGAAAATCTACCACATTGGAAGCCATCTACCGGGCTGGCTTAAGGCAATTCTGCCCAAGGCTGCCTTGAGAGTGGAAGAAGAAGCTTGGAATGCATATCCCTACACCAAGATGAGGACAACTTGCCCCTTTGTGGAGAAATTTTTTGTTGATGTAGAGACGTATTATTACCCTGATGCTGGACAACAGGTAGAGTTCACGTATGTTGTTCTAAAACTTGTACTATTTTCTTATCGTCTCGTGTAAGGGAATCTGGATTCTGGAATATGGAAAATTTTTGCTTGTGGAATCCAGAATCTGTGGAAGTTTTGCTTGTAAATTCCGGAATCCTGGGATTTGAAATCCCAAATGCAGCTCAAGGAATCCAGAATCCAAGTTTCACTGACAAAGACTGGAATCCAGTACCTGGAATCCTGAATCCATGCCAAGGAATCCAGAATCCAAGACTGTCTTGGATTACCTCACATAGGGCGATTCTAAACACTGTGGACCGAAAGTTCCTTTCTTCTTTCAGTTTAGTTACATTGGCAACTTGAAACGTGTTGAAATAATGAAAGTATAAAAATGATAATGATATTAGAACTGCAGAATGAAAATTAAATGCGTAGAGGATGGCTATTGCAACTTTTGTATATTTTCCAAAAAGGAAGCGTGAAAAGATTCAGGCTTGTGTACTCAGGATTCGAACCCTGCAAAAGTTGCGTCTATAATTACGATGATCTACATCGTATTTATACTAGCGAGCTTAACCAAACGACAACGCAGACATACCCGATGTCAAGACTGGAAGCGGGAAGTGTTGTTGGCTTTTCGCTTGTTAATACGCTTTACCCAAATTTGAAACCTTTTGTTGTTTCTCCTGTAGTTTAATATTATCGAACTCAGACCACTAAAAGAGAGAAAAGATCTTTTTCCGGTTGTTAGTTTTGACGTGCAGGACGTGAAGGTTTTCTTTGCTTAAGCTCGCTATATAGCTAATGTCTTTTTAAATACGTTCCTTTATCCACCTCCCATATTTCTCTTTGCCACCACCCAAACAAAGAATATGAGAAATAACTAAGCGGAAACACTAAGTAAGGAAAGAAAATAGCATGCTGGGCTAGATGCCATGACTAAATTTTAGGATCTGAGTGGTAGGCTTACCTGTAGTCGCAAAGGGTCTTAACATGTCTGATTTTCTGCAGTTGTCATCTTCCTTTGTACTAGCTACATTCCCTATCAAATTTCAGAACCAGTTTCTGTGGAGATTAAAGCCATATAACAATCACATCCAGTTCTTATTCCTGTTGTTTTTTTTTTTTTAGGAAAACGTTTTCAACCTGTCGGCAGTTGACCTTCAGAGTCGGGAAGTTGGTGAGTTGGCCTTTCTTCTGTTCAAACAAGAAAATTTCTTCAGGAGCAAGATCATTTGGGAGGACTTCCACTAACAAGAAGAGATGTCTCTAAGAAAAGACTTTCTGATTGCTTGTCGTTATCCTGCGAGATCAAACGCCGTTGTCGGCTCTTGACTCACTCGCCGTGAAAGAAGAGCCGAAAAAGGCGTCTCTTCTCACATGTTACACGCGTACCTGAATTATAATTGGTTGAAAAATACTGACGTCACAGAAATCGTTTCCCAGCTCGGGAGCACAGACGCTCTTTTCTCGGCGAGTGAAACAAGAGTCAAAAAAGTCGTTTGCTCTCGCAAGTTAACGGCTCTTTGGCTCAAACGTTGTGTTATTATTCATATATAATCAAGCTGAGATTCACTTTTACGTGGTTCGAGAAAATGTTTTCTATTTGCTCCTGCAGACATAATTGATCCAATAAAGGATGCAGTTTCCACATCAGATTACAGAGAAGAAGAAGACCCCTTATTATACATCTCCAGCAAAACAGGACGCGGTCCCCTGAAGGAGAACTGGCTAGAACATTACAGGGTAGAGAATCCACCTTCTGACGTCATGTGTGCTTATAAGCTTATTAAGGTTGAATTCAGATATTGGGGAATGCAGGTGAGGAATTAACCACTGAGAACCCGTGTCATTTGGTTATTTTTGAGTCGCTAGTGGTAAGGTTTGACACTGCAACCCCCGGCACAGTACTGGTCAAGGCAACATGCTGCCTGATTACAAGAATTGCGTCGCTCGCTACGCGTTTCTCGTAGCGGGTAACGATTAAAATTGCAAGTATCCCGCTTGCATGTTAGTATCAGGGGCGGTTCCAGGATCTTTTTTAGGAGGGGGTGCACTCGTCTCTTGCTCTACTTCAACACCAATAAACCACATAGTTTTTTTCTGCAGAATACCAGTTGTATTAGAAAACCGCAGGTCATCTCAGGGGGGGCGCACCCCTGCACCCTCCCCCTAGATCCGCCCCTGAGTATCACTACGCATCGTTTCAAACCAAACAACGAAGATGCGTTTTTTCGAATTCTTGACGCATGTGTTTATAAAACAAGGATCCATAAGCTAGATACAATGGCAAAAACGTATTCCTTGAGCTGCTGTTCAAAACTCCGGTTGTTGATCTACTGTTTCTTATCCACCATAACGTTAGTGGGTGCTTTAGAATTTGTCCACGAAAAAGATTTTTCGTAAACAACTGGCAACTTGTGGTGAAGGATTTTTCTGCACAATTCCAAATAAAACCTATCCTGAAGCTTAATGAAACTGGTAAATCCGTAATGTAGTGGTGGGTTCAAACCATACACTCATACAAGTCAACATAGGGTTTGAGGGTGGCTATGAACAGGAATTATTATGAAATCCCTCTTTTCTTTTCATTTCTTTAACTGCAAGAGTTAATTATATGTACGTTGTTTCCTTGTAAGCCGCGCAGTGTAGAACATTACCGCGAAAATACTCAATCATTAATACTGCATGGTATATTACAGTTATATATTGCTACTTAAAAATAACAGTTTACTATAACAGTTGAGACTACTGAGAAAACCGGCGGTAACTCACTTTCTAAGGGACGCAGCGTGGCCTAGTAGTTATAGCGCTGGACTTGTAATGGGGAGGCCTCGAGTTCAAGTCCATCCTTAACCGATAGCTGCCGGATTTGTTCTCGGTAGTCCCGCGCTCAAATCCTCGGCCACGCTTGTAAATAGCCTTCTAGTTCGGCTCCTACCAGTTGGGATTCTTAACCTTATTATTTTCTATTTAAATGTATTTGTTTTGTTATACCTGAAAAGTCCCATAAGGGGTGAACATAGTTGAGTATTTAATTTGATTTACTTTGTTGTTGTTTGTAGAACAAAATTGAACATTTTATCCACTCGGGTCTGAGGCGGCCTATGTTAATGGGCCATAGACAAGCGTGGGTGTGGCAAGATGAGTGGTACGGACTCACGATTGAAGATATTAGGAAATTAGAGGAAGAAACACAGAGAATATTGGCCAGAAAAATGGGGACACTTTCAGAGACTAACAAAGTAAACAGCTGTTTATCTCTAGATCACGATTCCGACCAGGAAATTGGCTTTGCCAGCGACAAAGGACGAGGAAGTGTAGTTTATGTCCAAGACAATAACAACAGCACAAAGCTGGATTTAATTTCTAAAACTTCACTAGATGACAGTGAAGGAAGTATATCTCCTTCACCTGTTGCTATAACGGTTGAGAAATTCGGATATGATGAAGAGAATCCGTCTCAAATTCTGCATGAAAAACTGAGCATGAAAATCTCTCAAGGCTTAGAATGTAATGGTTTTGGACAAAAGGAACGGAGCCCTTCTTTCGATAGTTCGTCCGCGAGGGGACTGTCGCGAGCTGAGATGCTGATGGGATGGCGAATGAGTACTATAGAAACCGTTGAATCCGATTCCGGAGAAGAAGAGTTTTTTGACGCACAAGGTATGGTATTGAATCTAACCCTAACCCTTTGCCGTAGTTAGCTTAGATACCAACAGCAACGTCCCTGTTTTCAGATATCCTGCCTATGACTATTGAACTGATTTGTGTATGTGAATGTCTTTGTGTAAAAGTGAACATGATCTTCGCAGTAGAATGAACAATCTGAGCGGTCCTAAGGGGTACTTTGAACTGCGGATAAACATGATTCATTTCATATATTTTAATTCATGTCCTCTTACATGTAGGGCTTTTATACGAGCTTCCTGGCTCATAGATCCTACCTGTGCAAACAAACCTTTAATTGATGTATTGATTGATATCAAACTGAAGACCCTTTCATACATGCATATAATTCTATTGCAGAGGATCTGGAAGATAACTTAGATTCAAATCTGTTGTCCATTCGTCACGTGGAACTCAGCAACAGTTTTAAAAGCCTTGAGTTAGACACGGATTCCTCACGGGGTAGTAGAGAGTCTTTGGATTCAGTAGCTTCTTCACTTAATGATGAGCAGAGCTTAGATAAGGTAAGACGACGAAGTTCGCAGATTCCAATAATGACTAACGTACAGGTTGTCGAAACGTCAGTCTCGATCAGCCACTGTCATCAACAGTCCATTCACTATTTTAGATTTCGTAAAGGCGAAAACATTACTGACTCGTAGGGAGAAAGTTTTACCATGCGTATGAAACCAATGGGAACTCGATAAAGCCAATAAAGTGCAGAATACAAATAAATCATCCCTTTAAACCCTAAGTATAAACGCAAAGGGTTGAAGTGCTCGCTTTCATAGTTTGCGTATACAACGCTGTATGAGGGACCTTGCTACAAGCCACTTGCTTCTCTGTAGTTCGCATTTGAATAGGCTCAATGGAATGGCTTAGTTCATTCAGTTCGTTCGACGGAAGAAATGAAATTAGTCAAAATGCTCGCTCTCTTGTAAGACTATCGGCTGGTTTATTCACCAAGTTCTGTCTGTTTGCTCTTTGTTTTTCAGTCTCCTCGACTCCTTAGAAAAGAAACGTTGAGTAAAAAGGTCAGCGATACTTCTACGTGTTCGTTACCAGCCTCCAGCATTACTAGCCTCATTCTCATCATCCACGGTGGGACGCAAATAGACACGGGCCTGGATCCCACGTCACGTGCCATGGACTTCAAACTGCTCCAGGATGCATTTGAAGCGGTGATTAATTCACACTACAAAGGTGCTGTGGGAAGGATCGCTCTGAGGCTCGTCGAGTGCCCAGCTATTTGCTCCAAAGCACTGAATCTGTTGTCTCAGCTGTGTCCTTACTCGGAAAGTGATTCGGGTAAGAATTGAGTGGCCATAAACAAGAGTCGAGATGCAAACCGTAGACGGGAAAACTGACAGTCTGAAGGACCATTTGAATTCACTTTTTTCAATCTCCTAACGATTCGGCATTAAGCTGTTTCCCACGAAGGCGGAAAGTTCTCTTGTTCCGCTAGTCTATCGTTGGACTATTTGACACCATTCTTCCCCGTTTTAAGCAAAATGGACTATCATCCTTTTTGTTTAATGGACCAGTCATAACCTCTGTATTTGACTTGAGACACAGTTATTCTCCGTCACGCAGTTTGTCTCATTGTCAATGGATTAAGCAGGCAAGCGGTCTGTAATACGGGACCACCATTTTACGAGGTCGTCCGAGTCGCGTGAAGGTCTAACCGTTTGCAGTACAAAGGCAGTACCTTCTTCTTCAGTTATGTTAAGACTCTGAGTTTTAGTTCGGTCCCAAAAATCGAATCTGCTACCTCCCGCTCTGCTGGCCAGCGCTCTGCAGACTAAGCTAGTTCTTCCGCGGTTATAACTGACCTTTCAACACCGGGAGCGCACAACCCACATTACTGAGAAAAAAAATAGTATCGTGCGAATGTTCTGGTAAGAAGATTAATCGGAATGGTCATATTATAACGAAGGATTACGTGACTCTGTATGCCCAAAACCCTTACCTAAATCGATTGTGTTACAGTGAACCGCGATTTGATCATTAGAGTTGAACACTGTTCCTTTTCCTTGTTTTCAGATGCAGCAAGCGTCAACAGTGGCTTTACTCCCGTGTCAAGTAGTTTTCCTTTAAGCGCCATCTCACTGATGGTCTCATCCTCGCCATTTTATGTTGACGCCGTTAATTCCATGGTAGCCGCCACAAACATGGCTTATCGTGATTTTCTTAAGTCTGAAGAAGGTCAAGGTTTTCGGGGAGAGGTGAATACAAAAATTATTCTGCGACAAAAGAATAACCTTTATGCCCAGTGTAACCTCCAGTTTTTGGACACCCTAAAGACCAGGCTTAGATTGCGGGGGAGATGGGGAGGGATGGATTAACCCCAAACACTACAGGGAAGTAGCGAGGAATATTTGATTTACCCAAATAGTTGACATATATGAAGAAATGACTACACCTTCATTCATTAATATCGGAATTTTCCGTCCACACTCGGTCGCAAAGTTTGGCTGTATGGTGAAAACTGTGGCAGGGTCCCTGCATAATTTAAACAATTACTGAATGAGGCTAGTATGATACGATTGAGGGCAGTGTTCGCCTCTCAAAGCTGTAAATTCCTTTGCCTTTTCTTGTGGTCTGCACTCACGCTTAAACAGCTAAGCTGCCGGGCCGCTGTTTCACGTGACGTCATATACAATCATCTACTTCTTAGTGACTGGCATCAATGATTGTATAACCTAAGCGTTTTCCAAATTTGGTCAGCGCCAGTAGCGCCAGCTGGTTATGAAGAATCTTTTTTGGGGGAGGGGGAGGGAAGGGATTATAGCCAGTAAGAAATATTTGTATAGCCAATAAGAAAATATTTGGAATGAATGATAAAGTGTGTTATTGACTTGTAGGTTTGTGTTCTCGGTGACTGCATGGGCGCCCTGCTTGCATACGACGCCTTAATCAGTAATGAGAACACCTTGTCCAAACGCACCCAAAGCTTCTTTTCAAACACAGCAATGCTCTCGCCTCTGGCTGCAACGACTGCTGGAAACAACGGAGAAACCAATGGAAGCGTGGTGAAAAAACCGCGCCGCACAAGTAGCCATACTCCACCTAGTAAAAGCTTGGAGGTCTCGCACAATCTCAGACTTAGTCTGAGCAGCGGAAATATTCGAGAAAATGTCGATCCAAATTCCGACGAAATCATGCGCGCTCCGCCAGTCGAGGAGTTGGAAGACACTGTTTTGGAGTCACCGAATCAGCTAAGCAGAGCCGAGCGGCTACAAAAGTTTTCCTTCGAGACGTCTCTGTCGATGGACTCCGTGGATCATGCTATGTTCGATTTTGAAGTTTCCAAGTTTTTCGCATTTGGTTCGCCTATCGGACTTGTTTTGGCTTATCGTAGATTCATGCATGGAGAGGACAGGACAGGTAATGTCCGTACTTATCACTGTAAATAAAACTGCACGTTTTCCTTACAATAAGTTCGCATAGTCACCGACGCTATAGGCTCGATTTCCGCCGCTCTTTCGGATCCGGGGGTCCGTTTCTCAAGAGTCCCGGTAACTTTACGGCCCGAAATCAGATTTTCAGATCATAATCTAAACAACAAAAACGCCTTTCCTAGCTATCGTATTATCTACAAACCTACCGAAACCTCTATCTTAAATTTAAACGACAACAGCTTTTCAGGCCCGTTAATTATCGGGACTTTTGAGGAACGGGCCTTCGGTCTTATTCCTTTTCGGGAAAGGAGCGTGGGCTCATTTCTCGATCAGCGGCTGGTAATCGGGTCTACTCACACGACGGAGTATTTTATTTGCAAACCCAATCATTCATTACTTTCTTTACAGCTGTACCGCCAAAACCTGCTTGCAACCAGGTCTACAACCTGTTTCACCCATTTGACCCGTCTGCGTCTCGTATCGAACCTTTGATCACTCCGCAGTTTGCACAGATCCCTGCTGTAAGCGTTCCTCGTTATCACCGGTTCCCGCTTGGAGATGGCCAATCACATCTTCTTAACAAGGTCTTTGCTGATAATCCAGAACTGTTTGTTAGCCCGCCTGGTAATTTTCGTTCTCAGTCTCGCCCGGGCTTGGTTCAACGGGACAGCAATCTGAGCACAGTAAGCCTGGTATCTAGTGACAGTTCGGATAGCCCTAGAGGGGGTACAGAGTTTGATGCAGGTATGTCTAAGTTTTTATTAGGTGGCGCGATTCTTGTATTTAAAAAGGTTTTACAAGATATCCGATAATCCTGAATACGTGACAAGATCGAGAAGCTGCTTCAAATTCCTGAAAATGACAGCCTTAATGTTACACGAACAAGTTAGTGAAAGTTACTTACTCGTGGAGGACCAACGCTGTTTTTACTTACTTGCTCTAATGCTAAGTTTTCGATCAAGTACACGATATTTCACTGATTTCTTTGTTTACGTAATCAGCGGTCGCTAATTGGTGGGGCACCAGACGAGTGGACTTTGCCTTGTACTGTCCCGAGGGACTTCAGCAATTTCCAACAGCCGTCCTCTCGCCTCTCTTCCATGTCAGCTATTGGGAATCAAGCGACGTGGCCGCTTTTGTCGTCAGACAGGTACTCAACTGATTTGGTGCTTTTGCTTCTCCTTGTGTTCGTTGTGGTTTTGTAGCCTGGTTACGTCTTGTTAGTGGTGACACACTTAGGCCCGGTTCAGACGCCGATCTTTTCATGAGCCAAACCTAATACATTGAATTAAGTACATGAAAAGTTCTTGAAAGTATCAAGAATCCCTTCGTCCCAGGACTTTCATTGAATATCTAAACAATTAGAATGTTTCGTCATTTCAGCCCTCTTATGAGCTATCATAACATGATCCCTCTTCTAATATCATTGTTTAGTTGATTTCGACTGTGTCTAGTAATACTGAGTTGTTTTGTTTTCCTTTTTGCACAGATTCTTCATGGTGAGTTGGACAGTGTCAGTGTATCATCACCCAGCAGAAGATGTCAGACGTTCAGTCCTGCTGAACCCAGAGAGAAGTGGCTAAAACGAAGAACGGCTATGAAAATTAAGGTATTTACTTTCTCTGTCCTTTGCACTATATTGGGTGGCCTGTGTCGTGCATGCATGAAACAGGTTAAGGGCGTTGCGGTTCACTTTCTACTCATCATGCGTGGCCAAAGACAATCGGAAATGGTTTCACATTAAGAAATTCTTATTAACAAATTTGGAAACTTTTTTGGTTGTTGCAGTTGTTGTAAAAACATTTTTGTGATTCTCCAAATTATGTGACAATTCTCCGACCCAGACAGTTAACAAAAAAACGTTACGGGTCGGTAGCAGTAATGTATTGAACTTTTCCTTGATTTTGTTGTACTTGCAGAACCTGAGCGCCAATCATCGGGCCAACGATCGGGTGACCCTAGAAGGTCAGGACCAGACCATTTCGGCCAGATTTATGTATGGTCCACTTGATATGGTTTCGCTTAGCGGAGAGAAGGTAGGAGTAACGAACAAAGTTTTCGCGCAGATTCAACGCCAGAATCACCTTATACATATATAAACGGTACTACAGGAGAGTACACTTTAAAGCCTTCGTCTTATTGAGTCCTTGCGGTTTGGTCGACACAAAAGAAGTCGGCGGAAATGTAATTCTACAGTAAGCTGGACACCTTCTCGACCCAACCTAAAATTTAAAGAACCCACGACCTCTAGATAAGAATACCGTTAGCTGACCGACTGAGCTAAAAAGGTAGAGAGATATCTGATCCCACACTGGAATTGCATGGAATTTTAGGATACTTTAAATTACCCTGCATGTAACCGATACATCTATTGGCAGTTAAGATTCACTGTAGAAAAGCAAGTTAATTCAGGCCGGAATAAGCAACCATGTGTGCCTCGTAGGTGTAACTTTTTACTGATGCAATGTCGCTCTTTTCAGGTGAACATCTACGTCATGACCCAACCTCCTTCTGGAGAGTATGTTTTATTTGACACCATTTTGACCGGAAGTGGAGGAAAGCTTTCTTGCTCTATTCCTGAAGATAAGAAACTTCCGGTGGGAATCTACCCTATCAAGTTGGTCGTCAAGTAAGTATAACAGCTCCACCCAGAATTCAACGCCACGCAACGCTCCTCTCCGTTACCGTTACGTGACGGAGACGAGGGTGGCGTGACGACCCCGACGCATTTACTTTTCGATAGAGAATTTATTTTATACAATTTCTAAGTCGGTCCCGGCACTCGAGCTGAGGCCACTTCGGTGGGAGGGTAGTGCTATCACCACTGGTCCACTCTTGCCCCTCCCTACGGTGAGTCCTGACGGGGTGGTGGTGGTGATGGGGGGAAGTGGGGGGTGTGCTGGGGTATAGAGAAAGGTTGAGTAAGGCTCTTCACGTTGCATTTTGTTGTTTTTCCTTTGTAGAGGTGATCACACGTGGGTAGATAGTAACCTAGCCGTTTTGCCGCCTAAAACCGAAGCTGTGGTGTTCAGTATCGACGGCTCATTCACGGCCAGTGTCTCCATACGTGGTAAAGACCCAAAAGTTCGCGCTGGAGCTGTGGATGTTGTCAGGTAACAGAGTTTTGTTTTCACAGTGAAACGAGCACACCCGTGGCCGCCTAACAAACTTTTTGCGTCTTTTTTGTTTATCTTTTAGACACTGGCAAGAATTGGGCTTCTTGATTGTTTACGTTACAAGCCGTTTAGACTTTCAGAAGACCAAAGTTATGTCTTGGCTTGCAGAACATAACTTTCCATACGGATTAGTATCATTCGGCAACGGGATTACTAAGGATCTCCAAAAACACAAAACGGAGTTTCTCCGTTACCTTGTCAATGATGTGAGTTATTTATGTTTTAACAAGGAAAAGGCTGATACCAAACGAATTTCTGTTTTACTGTTATTGTGCTCGTTTGCTGAGTCAAGTGACGCATGCATCTCTAATTCACAATCTAATTAAAACCCAAAGTAAAACCCAGTAAACTAGTGAGGCATTTCCAGGCACTGTGCCATCGATCTTTGTATCCTGTGTGTTCAGCTCATTATAGGACATTTTCAAGTTGTCCCGAGCCTCTACTTGAAAACGAGGGAAACGCGAAGACTTTGATGTGAAAATATTCTTGCTCTCTTGCAAGTCATGGGCTCCTGTGCATTTTCACCCAAACAGTTCTGCATTTAGCCTCATTTTGAAATTGAGGGGTTTTGGAATTCGGAAATGACCTATTTGAATATTCTTTAATAATCTTTTCATCAGAAATTTTTTTCAGCCTTCTGGTGTAATTAAATAATGACTGTTCCTTGTTGTCGTTAGTGTCAAGTGTTGATTCACGCGGCGTATGGATCAGTGAAAGACATTTCAGTTTACACATCTATCGGTGTTCAGTCGCATCAGATTTACACTGTAGGAAAACACCATCCGAGGAAATACGCGAGCCAGGCTCAGGTTAGTAACACCGTTATTTACTCTTTATTCGCCCGGTGACACTAATTAACTCAGGTGGCCTCTTGAGACTTATCCAGTCTCCTAACCTATTTTCCCACTCGGTGTCGAGCTCGTCGCCCGAGTACGTTATTTGCTGGGAAGTAATGTAAACACAACGTTTACCTATCATAAACCCAGGTCGTGCGGACTGGAGAACGCGCGGACGTGTAGATTTTAGTCAAATTGTTTAACATTGATATTAATTTATTTGGTAGATGGGAGATAAAGTTAAATCACTCCAAAGAGAGAACGATAAGTTGCGAGACCAGATTAGAAATCTGTCAAAGGATTTCGCAAATTTCAAAGACAGGGTGTACTGTAAATTCTTTCTCTCCTTTGTATAATCTTTCCGCATTATATTATATATAAACAAAAATGTACATAAAAGAATAAAAGTATTCTCTACATGTAAATTGACTGGCCCGCCAAGATTAGCTCCAGCTACCTGCGGGCCAGTGCTCTTTGTAAAATTTAAATAAGGAAAACAATTCTGGCACGGTGCTGCATGTAGCCTGCGAACAGCAGACGCATTTCCGGTCGGAGAGAAGCGGCGACCGAAAATGCGTCTGCTGTTCGCAGGCTATGCTGCATGGTGCCAGATAACAAGATCTCAACCTTGACTCGGACATTAAAATTTGGCACTGGGTCTACAAGAGAGCTTGTTAACGCTAGAGCAATATTTGTTAATAACTGATCGCGCTGTTTTGTTCTTTTTTTTAGTTCCTAAAGGACGGCTATGCAGCTCATTTAACATTCCTGTCCAATCAACCTATTTCCAGGCCGGCTGTTGGAAATTCCCGGTTGATAATCAGGCGAGGTTGCTTTGGTCTTCAATCACGGACTACCAAGGCAAGGCACAAGATCAAACGTTCGATTTCAGATAAGCCGTCGAACGATTCTGACATAGAAAGTTCAACTTTATCAGGATTCTTTAATTACTCCTCTTTTAGACACACCAAAGGGCGGTCTATGAATAAATTTGATCAAGACTATTAGAAATGACCATTGCACTCAAGTAGAAAATAACCAACGGATCGGCTTGGATTGGTGGCAGAAGAGCGATGCTTTATGAGAGGTTCATAATCGAAAATCAGAAGCTATGAAAAACATCTGAACTTGGAGCTCGAGTGAACTCCCTCAAATTCGAAGAACTCTCTCAAGCAAACAAATATCGAACCTTCGTGAAGTAATGAATCTTACCTTCGATGCTGTTTCCTTCCTGTGTTTTTAATTTCTTCATCATATCGTGGTTATATCCGTGTTTTCCTGCGATTCTCGAGCGTTTGAAATACCTTCCTATCAGCCGCCATTTTGTACATCCTTCGCTCAGACCCAGTTCCTCGCTGTGTGATTTAGCCCCCTCTAAGGTTTGAATGGACGGCCGTGGTCAGCTGGTTTGCAGAGAAGTCATCGAGTGAAAACAGAGACGTAAAAAAAGCCGATGTCGAAATTAAACACACGGGTCAACAAACTTGAAGAGAAGACTGATTCATTTATCGAGAGCTCCGTGTTTTCCATAACCCCAGCCGGCAAAAATTAAAAGGCAAAATTTTGTCTAAAGGACACGCCCTAAGTTTGTGGTATGAAATATATTCTCAATCTCGGTCGTCTTGGAAATTTGTCGGATGTAAAACAGTCCTCGTGTGTCATTAAGGTAATAAAACGGAAAAACGTTCTTCGTGCTCCCACCGTCCAGAGCTGTTCTGTGTTCTCCGTTGGTTCACGCATCACAGATTTGAGGTACTCGAACAGTGTCTCCAATTTGTTTTGTTTTTTGCAATCCCATCGTCTTCTAGCCTGAGAAAACAGCTGACATTTCGCGATGCCACTGCTGGTTTCCCCGGGAAATGGCGACTGAGAAGTGAGCGCAAAACTCCATACTGATGACGCGTCACTACCCAGATCTGGATAGTGCTTCTGATTGGTTGAAGCAAAATTCCCACGCGAACGACCAATAGACCTATTCGGCTAACTCAATGTTGTACCCAATTCAAATCTCCCGGGGATAAGATTCTTTGTGTATTGCATTTGCATTATAATGTGGCATTCACATTTAAATGATATGGAAATTCCTGAAACAAAACGTTTTATTCCCAAAGGGTTTGAATTGGGTACAACATTGAGTTAGCCGAATAGGTCTATCAGAAGCGCTACCCAGATCTGAGTAGTGACGCGTTCTGCACTCTTTTCTAAGGCGTCATTTCGCCTTGGAAACCAGTGTTGGCGTCGCGAAACGTCCACTGTTTTCTCAGGGTAATCGTTTTCTTAACTAAATAATGTAGGATAGTATTGGTCGTTACTATATGTACTCCTGTTTAGACTTAAGTGCGTGACGCACCAGCGTCCAATCGAAATGTATATTCACACACGTCACGCAGCGTCCCAATCACTTTACTGAACTTACGGTGACAATTTCCGGCTTGTTCTCTATAAACAGTCCCGTGTTCGGTGAAAATGTTGCATATAAATTTGACTGAGAGGTTTTAATATTAAATTATTTAAGTTAAATGTAGTTACCATGTATCTATAATCAAAGACTAAGTTGTAATGTATTCCTTTCCAGTTTAGTTTATATTTTGAAGACCTTAGCTTCTCTTTAAAAAGAAGGTATATTTAAGAGTTCATTCTTACGCTCCCGCACCCTCTTAACGGTTTGTTTTCCTTATGTCTGAGTTCGTGAGGCAAATCCTTTAGTATCACTATGTAAATGAAATTCTTTGGCAGCGCTTTCTTGTGTTGCTGTTTATTATGTTGTACAAGGTGTAGGCTCGATTACCCGCTACTGTTCGGGAAATGAGCTCGCGCTCCTCCCTCCGATCTTGGGGCGGACCCGAAAGAGCGGCGAGCCTACACAAGGCGCAACTTTTGACTTTTTATTTGAAATCCTTTGGTGTTACCATTGAGATAAAACCTCGTCAGCAGTTCTTTTACATGTTATTACACTTCTGCACGATTATGTTTTTTTTTTTGGATTTTTTTTACGGCTTTCGGTCCTCTTGGGAGTAAAAGAGTTAACTCATTATGGGGGGCATGTAATTATGGAAGTTTACCCTCTATCCACTTGCTTCTCGGTTACTTTTTCCTTTCTTCTGGAAAAAGCTTTAGCCGCATAGCAAAGACCGCTCGTCAACGAGCCCCTTGCTGTCGCTCAGCTGCGCCTCCAGTCGTGAAGAGAGGAGAAAAAAACCTCAGAGGCGAGGGTAATGTAAAATTTAATATATTCTTACGATAAGTTATTCAAAAGCATCGCCTACATATACACTAGGCGACTTCAGAAGGTCATGACTGGTCCAAGCTCTCGCAAAGATTTTAATTACTGGATTTATTATCTTTTACCTGAGGCTTCGCTCGCGCGCTCGTTAAAGTGTGCGCGAGAGGGGGGCTTCACTAGACACAAAAACTGTTAAATTAATTACCTCAATGAAGTTGGAGAAAATACTAATGTTGTCATTAACTAATGGCGTAAAATATTAACTCTTAAGAAAATAATATATAAGATTGTCAGGCGCTGTGGTAGTCTGATGTAATCTGTCAATCAAACCTGGCTGGTCCAATTACATTCGTGTATTTCTAGTGATAACGGTATTACCGTACAATATTATGGACTCGTTGTTCATTACTTTGGCAAGTAACATACTGTGCCAAAAAGACTTGAACATGATCTTCGTTTAATTAAAAATAGAATAAGTGTGTTTTGATTTTAAGGAAAATGCAGATAAATATTACAAATAATTAAAGTTCGTGGAAAATTTTTTGTCTTGAAGCGGTTTAATAATGTTTGTATTTAAGATTTAAGTTGTTATGAGTTGTTCTCCAGAAGAGCAGAAATTCTAGCTTTAGCCAGATCATAGCTGAATTCAACATTCAGCTGATGAAGGCATGAAGATGTTGAGATGGAGTCGAAATATTTCGGTTTAAACTATCTTTGCTCTGGGTACGAAAGTTTTTCCTGGCTATAGTTTTCGAGATGCAGACCCGTGACATAGCTCCCTCATGAGCATACACTAGAACTACAGGGCTGACTTTTTCAAAAGATGATAAGCAACATTCCAGACTAAGCTACCATGACAACTGACTTGCAAGCTTTGTCGGTTTGCAGTTAACCCAGGATTACCGCTATTCACAGCCTCGTTCCCAGTTATCCTCGGTGATTTCGGACGTGACGTTGCCTGTCAGGGCCTGTCAAGTTTGTCTTGAGAATTTGCTCGGTTCCAAGCCTCCTTCACTCACTCGCCGGACCGGCATGGGGACGAGGCTGCCGCTATCCGTGGTTCGATCAGCTCGGCTCAGTAAATGTGAGCTTGACGTATATCACAGAATTCCATACGTGTATTTATTTATTTTTTTTATTTGTTAATTTTAATTTATCTTAAATGTATTAAATACCAAAGACTGGTGTGCGAGATGGAGATATTTATTTTGCATCATCTTAATGTGAATCCGCATTAGTTACGTGAATTTATTCCGTTTGGGTGAAATTATACCTAAGAAAAAGGCTTAATGTTTAATCAAGGCTTCACTACGGACATAAAAATTCTCTCTTTTGGCCTCCTTATTTTTTATGGTACTCCTCGGGAGGAACTGGGAAATAGTCATCATTTTTGAATACCGCTGTCACAGTGATATGAACATCCCCGCGTTTTGAGCATCCTCATAGTGATATGGGCATCCCCTTCTCACATTACCTTAGCGATTTGGGTTAGGGTTAGGGTTACAGGGGATACCAATATCACTAGGGTTTTGGGAATGGGGATGCCCAAAACGCAGGGATGCCCATATCACTGTAACATTGTTAAATGTCACTTATAAACCCTGGGCCTATGCATCTTTATACGCAGTTTTAGGAGCGCTTTTAAACGGAGGGGCATATCCGAAGGGGCTTATAACCGGAACAGACTCGTACCCAGTCGCTATTTATGTTTTTTGGGGGTGAGAGAAGATTGCGGGGTAGGTTGAGGCGCACGCAGGATCTCATGGGAAGGGACGAAGGAAAAATAGCTTCCTTCGTCCCTTCCCATTAGAACCCGCGCGCGCCTCAAAGTAACCCCCAATCTTCTGTCACCCCCAAAACACATAACGACTGGGCACGAGTCTGTAACCGGAATAGAAAAAGGGCTTTGAAACAAGCAGTGCTGATGAAAATATGCTTTGCATTTACTGGTGTTTGATTAAGCTTCAAAACTTCACAATAAATCGTAAGAGCGCTTATGACCTAGTGAAAATCAAAAATCGTATAGTTGTAAGCGGAGTCATAAACGCGACAGAATCAGAATCAGAAGAATCAGAACGTTTCCATTTTCTTCTGACTCCGCTTACGACTCCGTCGCTTACGTTCCGCCGGCTTATGATCTAGTGAAAAGCAGATAGTCGGAGTCGGAAGCAGAAGCGGAAAAATATAAACCAATCACAACGCACGTTCCCACGCTTTGTGATTGGTTTAGTTCTTCCGCTTCTGCTTGCGATTCCGACGACCCAGTTTTCACTTGATCTTAAACGACGGAGTCGTAAGCGAAATCAGAAGAATTAGAACACTGTTTTTACTGGATCGTTAAGTTCTACGCTTCTGATTACGACTCCGACTCCAACCCCGTCGCTAGTGAAAACCAGCCTCAACGCCGAGCTGTTTGTTGCATTTGGAAAGTGCAAATTGACCACCACAGAAAAGAAACAGAAGACCATGCTTATGCAAAATTTTGGAGTGACAAACAAAGAGTATTATGGTATGTTATAGTATTTTCTGTAGTGGTCAATTGGCGGCCGGCAAACGTCAATCTGAGCCACGTGACCAAGTTATCCTCTAATTTTTCATCTACTGTTTATTATATCTCCCAAAAGCGGTTTCATGTCAGGTTCATCCATAAGAATTATTTTGACAGTTTTTGACTTCTCATCTCTTAATTTAGGAATATGCCAACATGAAGAATCAATTATTACCTTCTCCAGGTTCTCAAAGAGTCGACGCTGCGGTTAAAACTCAATTAAAAATGACGGCTTTGCTTTTATTCAGAATCTCGTTACAGTTTGTTGTCTTCGCTCGCCGCGTGTTTTTAAGGGGCCTAGAAAACTGTGAACAAAAGCTACCCCAATCGTTGAAGAGGTGTTTTCGCACATGGTCTCTCTACTCGCGCATACATCAGGGAAGAGCCTCATTTCACATTCAGATCATAGAGCGACAAATTTCGCATATCTCAAGAATCATTCTAGTTATTACGAGTAAATTGTCGGCCTGTGCCGATTGAGAGCCCTTGTCGACAATACTTTTACACGGCACTACCAGTTTTGCCGTCCCCTGGCAAAACGAAATTTGGAATATTATGCTTGTGAGATCCACTGGTTTTGAAAGGACACTGTTAATGTTAAGGTTTTCATGTCTGATATTTGTTCGTTGCTGTTCGTTTTTACTAGTTTTGATGAGGGTCTTGGATTGGCTTAGTGTACTTTTTCAATTCACGTATCGGGTCAGCATGGCATTGAAACGCGTCCCGGTTAAATTAAGGTAGTAAGGTGTTAGGAGTAAAGCCGATGTTTACTCCGACTTTTTACTCACCAAATATATACATTATACACACATTTTTATCTTTTTTGTTATCTTTTCTCACATATTATATACTCAAATGGTTGCTTAATAGGGCGACCAAGAAGGTTCAAATCTTGTTCAAGAATGTTGTCCTTGAAGCACCGTCAGGGAAAAGAAGAGAAAAGGCGAAAAGATCAGCACCAAACTGTCTGCAGCAATTTTTCCAAAACTTTATCCAAACGAAAACGAACGGTGTAAAATACTAAAACTTCATGCACTTTCTGACTCGTTGTTATATACGTAATAAATATCGTGTAGGCGATAAAAAAACCAGCAGGTCCAAATGAATTGAGGAGCAAAAATAAGAAGTTTTGTTTCTTAGTGGCGATAACTGAACGTTACATCCCCCCCACAAAAAAAAAAAATTACTATTGCCCAACAACTTATTCCTCCGTTTGGAATTTATCCAATTAATTCAGTATATAACTGGCTAATTTTTTCACTTGTTCTCTCGTGAAAGAGCTCTTTCGGCCTCCACTTGTCGGTGGCTGTTAGAAAATTTGTTTTTGTCCAAATGAGAGACAACAAAGGAATATAAAGAAGCGTTTTAGTAGACTATTGTTCG